GGCCCATCGGGTAGTCAGGGTTAGCCAAATTGAGGGCGCAAAGAGGCCATAGTGGCACAAATCGATCGACACGATCAGTGACCTACAAAAATAAAAACATTTGTTTTCTGGCGTGAGAATCGCGCCATCGAGTGGTTTGCAGCCAATCACAACAAGCCTGAGTCACGTGTCCATTTTGGCCCTTGAATTCATTAAGTAGGTAGTCTGGGAATTCCCGGTTTCGGTCTCACGCCTTTGGCCGTCTTCTCACTTCTCACAGCGGATTTGGAGCGCTCATAGGCCTAGAGGAAGAGGGTGACGAATTAGAAGAACGAGGAGGAGCACTACAGAGGGAGGGTGGTGAGAGTGACAGGGAGGGAGAGAGATAAGTTGAGAAATATATGAAGAGACCTAGATCTAGCAATGTTTACATAGCTTGATCTAGATCTAGGTCTCTGGTATGGGAAGTGAGAAATAGACAAGAAAGGAGAGAAACACTAAAGCAAGTTAGCAAGCAAGCAACCGTGCAAGCACACACACACACACACACACACACACACACACATACACACACACACACAGAGAGAGAGAGAGAGAGAGAGAGAGAGAGAGAGAGAGAGAGAGAGAGAGAGGGATTGCAGGAAGTCCGAGAGTACGGTAGGCATATGTAATGTATTCATGGGTCAAAGGTCCAGCCAATCGTAGCCCGGTTTACGCCCTCTGTGTAGTCGCATGTAGGTCAAAGGTTTCTTTACTAAAAATTCCAGGTCGTCGGGTACAATCGCGGCGGGGCTGTAGTGTGCACTGAAACCCAGACACAATCGGCCCGACCAGACCCGATACGATCGCGTATGAGGGCACCCCCTAAAAGCCGTGCACTGCGATCTTCGTCAATCCCAATTATGGAAGCACAGTTGCTCAACCAACGTGACGCTCATAAAATTCACGTGAAAGTAGTTGTCAGATTGATCTCTACCCCCATACCCCCATCCCGCACTCCCCACCCAAAGAGAAAAGCACCCCACCCCCACATACACACACACACACACACACACACACACACACACACACACACACACACACATACACACTCACCTATGAGCAGATCTCTGTCCAAATCATTCTATATGTCAAGACGACTGATAAGATGCAATTTATTTCCACTTTTACACATTATACAAAATGAGGAAGTCTGGGTCGTAAAAAGAAAGTGGATAGCTGCAAGCAGTATTTAGAGCCACAGGACCGTGGGAAAAGTAGCGATGATGAATGTATATTGGAAACAATGCCCAACACATTTTCCAAATTCTTGCCTCTGGGATTTGTCATGTCACAAGTGAGGGTATCCAAGGCCTACTACTACTACTACTACTACTACTGCTACTACTACTACTACTACTACTACTACTACTACTACTACTACTACTACTACTTAATTATACAACTACTACTGCTGCTACTACCACTACAACTACTACTACTACTACTACTACTTCTACTACTACTACTACTACTACTACTATTACCACTGCTACTACTACTACTACTGACACTACTTCTACTACTACTACTACTACTACTACTACTACTACTACTACTACTACTACTACTGCGTACTTCTCTTAGAGTAAATGAGAGAGAGAGAGAAAAAGAGAGAGAGAGAGAGAGAGAGAGAGAGAGAGAGAGAGAGAGAGAAAGAAAGTGCGAGAGAGACAGAGAGAGACAGCGAGACAGAGAGTCGGAGACAAAGAGAAAGAGAGAGAGATTTTGAATATCATCATCACAACATCATCATCATCATCTTCTCCATAATTTTACTAATAATGATTTTTATTACTGCTACTACTACTACTACTACTACTACTACTACTACTACTACTACTACTACTACTACAAACATTACTATTACTGCTGCTATTACTACTATTTATTTCCCTTAGAATGAGAGAGAGAGAGAGAGAGAGAGAGAGAGAGAGAGAGAGAGAGAGAGAGAGAGAGAGAGAGAGATAGGGGGTTTGGGGACAGAGAGAGATATAGAGAGAGAACAGAGGTGAAATAGATAACGAGAGAAAGAGAGTGAGGAGGATACAACGGATCAGATTTCGACCCAAAGATACATCCTCTATTGACCCAATCCCACCCCAAATCGCTAAATGTGTATTCTTTTTTTTAAAGAAATTTTGATTCATGAAGTAGAAATTATTATTCAAGAACGATAATTTGGCGCTTTTAAGGACAAGCAGGCTAACCCAGATTTCGGAGGTTTCCAGAAGCTTTGACCTACACCAAAAGTGGGCATTTCCCTACCTATAGGAGAAGTTTGGTTTCAAACTTGAGTATATTGGTTTGGTTATAGAGACAACTCTCCGTTTTTTAAAGAAACTGAACTTGGGACAAAAACTTTACCGTCGATTTTCTCAAAACAGCTTTTTCGGGATAGCCTTCTTGTGCTTAAAAGCGAGTAAATAATCTGCGAAAAAATCCATCAAAATTAAACTGAAACCCCAAACTTCCGCGTGCATCAGTGTAACGTGCAATTACTTTCACCACTATCTACGACCGGCCGTCTCATCATTCATAGTTATGCGAGCAAACATATCATGTGATTTCCCGGATTGCGTCATATCTCGTCACCCTTTCCCTGGTTGCACGTTCGCCCTACTACGTCGAAGTGACCAGGAACGACTCACCTGGGGTGTATATATAGTCCGAGATGACCACACACTGGACATCACTCTTCACTCAGACCACGGTCAAGCCTTCCAAGTCTCCACGATCACCCTACCAGTCCAGGTGAACGAAATACATTTTTCATTTTATTTATTTATTTATGTATTTATTTATTTATTTATTTATTTATTTATTTGCCAAGTTTTTAAACGCTTCGCAGCAACACAAATCTCGTTTAGTTTACAGAAGGAGGAAATGAGATTTTCATCTGAACTGTAAATACGTAGTCCTTGTAGTTCCTAATGTATCAAACAGTCATTTAATAGAGCACACAAATGTTGTATAGTTCTCATTCATGTATCGTTCTAATCACAGTTGAATTTAGGTCCATTTTCTGTTTTGAAGCAATTTCTCTATTAATCAAAGCCCTGCCCTCGGAACGCTAATCATGATGTAAGAGGGAAGAGTTTAATACCTTATATACGATATCTACGCATAATTTGGAGATTACTTATTAGTCATATTTTTACATTCGTTTCCAGAAGCATAAGCAGTAACCCCCGGGGGAGGGGAAGGGTTGTTCTTTCAAACATGGCGTCCCCTGTTACCCTCTTTTAATACAACAACCTAGTAGCTGCATAGGCAACGAACTAGTTCTTCACTTTACAAACCGTTTAACAGAACCACTCATAATCATTAGGCATGTGAAAAAGGAAACACTAGAAACGCCTGCTCCTGATTACATTTAATTTACGGTATCCCTAATCTGAGTATCGCTTTTGCTACAGTTTCTTCTTCATTCCTTTCATTTGAATCTTGTCATTGGATAAAAGCTGAACTTCAAAAGAGTTTTCGCTGGCTGGGTGCAAGAACCCTACAAGTGACACTTTGCAAATTGGCACTTGTAGGGTTCTTGCACCCAGCCAGCGAGTGTATATAATCATAATATTAATTTTATTTTTAATGTGCTGTTTCCCATGAACATACTTAAATGTAGACCCTGTGATACAGGTATTCTTACCCACAAGCTTTACCCCGCCCTCTTCTTTTCAGTCACACCCCATTCCGTCTATCAAATTCTCACATTATTCGTCGTCTGTCATCTATTTGCGAAGGTATAATCGTATTTTTTCTCTTCCCTCCAGCTTCCCACCTCATCAGCAATGGCCTCTTTCACCTCCCTCTGCCTGGTCGTCCTCGTCGCCTCATGCCTTGTGGCTGACACTCTGGCCTTGGGCTACGGTCTAGGAATGAAGGGAATGTACGGAGGTCTGGGAATGTACGGAGGCATGGGAATGTACGGAGGTATGGGCATGTACGGAGGTATGGGGATGTACGGTATGGGAATGCCCTTCTACGGCGGATACGGCTACGGAATGGGATTCCCCATGATGGGAGGTCTCGGCATGTACGGAAAATATTACTGTAAGTACTGCAACATTCCAGTCATTATGTGTGGTTATGAATTATACATTGGAAAGTACTTTCATAATACAAACCCAAGAAATGGGAAGAGAGAAACAAAGGGGAGAAGGGAGACAGTTAGAGGGAGCTTGGGAGACAGTTAGAGGGAGCTGGGAGACAGTTAGAGGGAGCTTGGGAGACAGTTAGAGGGAGAAGGGAGACAGTTAGAGGGAGCTTGGGAGACATAGCAGAAGCCAGATAGAAAGAAAGGCAAGGAGAAAGAAAGTGTTACAATAGATAAAGTGAGAGAGAGAAAGGAAGAGAGAGAGAGAGAGAGATAGAGAAAGAGAGAGATATATATATATAGAGAGAGAAAGAGAGATAGATAGATAGAGAGAGAGAAAGGGGCACTAAGAGAGAAAAAGAGAAAGAGATATGATGAAAGCATTTTGCCAATTTATTTTAATGATCAATTCTGTTTCGTATAAGAAGGTACTCAAGCAATATAATTAATTTAGAGCACAAACAAACATAATTTACACTTCAGTTGTACCAAAGAGTCTACATAACAAGAGGGGCCACTTCTCTCTTTGAGCCAATTACAAAAAGTGTCCTCAAAATTCGGTGGCGCCCTCTTCGCAAAAGCGCACATTTGCGAACAGAGTTATCCTACTTGAGTTTTAAAAAATCAAAGTGAAACTAGCAAGTTTTTGAATGAATTTCGGAAGAACGCTTTTTTTTAATGGTTACGCTGACAAAAAACCTCTTCCGGAGGAAAGGGTGATTGTCTTCTTCGTTTAATTTGACTTTAGAATGAAAGGCGAGAGGTCATTAAAATAATAAAATCCTAAAACTCCGCACTGAACGTACCCGAACTGCTGATGAACAGCAGTCGATCTGCGCACGCAAGGAGGTGCTATTCCTATTCTTCTTCTGGGAAAACGAAAGAGAGCTTCAAAACAGACTGCAGCGCTATCTGAAGCAAAGAGCGAATTTCCTGCGGACACTTTTTTGGCTGATTGGACCATCTTGTTATTTACTATCTTTGGTTGTACCTAGTGTCCCTTAAAGCATTAAGAACAATCGGTAACAACAACAAGAATGAAACAAGAAATGTCGTCCATCTCAAACTAACGACAATACCAAAAACATAGGAAGAAAAAACCCAACAACAACAAACAATAGAAATAATAACCATTTACTATGACATTATTATTATTATTATTACTCATGATTTTAGTTGGTAAAGTAATCAATTTTACTTGCATTTACTCAACAGAATTGTCTTAATAATTGCATACTCTATGGATTCTACAACTATTATGTTACATCAGCTGTCATTTCAAACAAAGTCAATCTTTCCGCTAGGAAGCTATAATAATATAAAAACCTCTCAGCCTGGGTTGGCCCTGACAGGCACGGTCGGAATCCCGCCTCCCAAGTGATCTAAAAAAAGACTGTTACTTGATTTGGAGGGGGGGGGGGGAGAGAGAGACAAGGAGGGGCGTTCAAACAACTTACGAGTAGACATTATTTCCAAAATAATCCTTCCCTAACACAAATCTATGTCTATATTTCAGAATCCCAGTGCGACGATTTGGGGCGTGAGCGGCGTGAAGAGTGTGTCTGTCAGAGTGATTTGTTTGTTTGTCAGAATGTTTTGTTCCTTGTATGTTCAATAAAAATTAGTAAAATATTCACAACAGTCCTTGTCGTTAGTATTATTGACATTTTTAAATTGCTTTATAATCAGTTTGGATTTCTAAATTCTCTGCTATCCTCAGTCTCTCTCTCTCTCTCTCTCTCTCTCTCTCTCTCTC